TCGTTTCCATCCTACAGCCCCAAGAGACGCCCCGCGGGCATCGTCTAGGGAGAGCGGTAGATCAGCATCACCAGGAGATTCCTCCTCCAGCATCCCAGCTCCCTATTGGGTGGACTCGGATGAGTCCGAGATCGACTCAACTTCGCCTGATGCTGCAGTCACCTCGCAAGGCCCCGCATCACCAGAAGAGCCACACATCTCTTTCGCTGAGCTGATGTCCAGGCTAGTGAGGTCACTGGAAATCGAGGCCAGCCAACAGCCCGGTCCCAGCACCGATCGCTTCTATGATGTGGTACGGGGTGAACAATCGACCTCCATTGCTTTGCCACTCATCACAACTCTGTGACAAGCGATGACTTAGCCATGGGACCTCCCGGCTCACCTCCAACCGACTTCAAGAAGATATGAAGCCATGTGCTTGGTACGGGAGGGGGACATTCCGTTCCTCCTTTGTCACCCCAAACTGAACTCGGTGGTGGTGGAGTCTTCCCAGGGCCGGGAGGCACGGGGTCACACCGCGCCCCGCAACAAGGAAGGGAGGAAGATCGACTCCCTTGCGCGCTGAGTCTATGCGGCCTCTGGACTTGGCTTGCAAATATCAAACTATGAGGCGACGTTGGCATGCTATCAATATTTTATAATGCAGGGCCTGGACAACATCATTGCTGCTCTCCCAGATAACCAAGGCGACCTGGCGCAGGTGTTCGTAAAAGAGGCCATGCAGGTCGTGGTGCAACAGCTATCCACAGCCAGACTTCATGTGGGCATGGACTCGAGGGCTCTTGTCAGTGCCATCTCCCTCCGGAGGCACGCTTGGTTGCGTAATTGCAACTTTCCGGAGGAGATGAAGAGGAGGATCGAGGAGATGCCCTTTGACGGGTCCGGCCTCTTCAACGCAAAGACCGACCACCAGTTGAAGAAAATCCACGAGTTGAGGATGACGGACCGGCATATGGAGTTACAACCTCAGCCCCGACGTAAGTGGTCGTGGACCCGTCCACAATATCGGCAGCAATGTCCACCCTGACAACAGCCACAGCACCACCAACAACGCCACAGATAGCAATCGCCCCAATGATTCCAGCAAGGCCGCCACCGCTTTGACGGGGACAAACACCAGCACTGATGGGGTGGGCAAACCTTTCCTCTCCTCCCAACCCCACCCTTCCCCCTCTCATTTGGGGATTGGCTGAAAGGCCGACTCCCCATTTGGGAGTCCATTACATCTGATCGGTGGGTGTTACCCATCATTCAGCACGGATATCGAATAGAATTCGACATTGTTTCATCATCGAGTCCCATCCGGTTTACTCCATGCTCACCGGTGTTGTTAGTCAAGGTTCATCAGCTCCTTTCTAAAGGAGCCATTCGTCGCTTATCTCTATTGGAAGGACTCCACGGATTCTATTCTAGATACTTTACAGTCCCAAAACGGGATGGAGGTCTTTGGCCAATATTGGACCTAAGAGTTCTTAATAAATTTATAACACCGAAGAAGTTTCGGATGACCACACTTCAAAATATCCTGCCGTTGCTGAGGAGAGAGGACTGGTTTGCCTTATTGGACTTGAGGGATGCCTATTTTCATATCTCGATCCATCTGTGTCATAGGCGTTTCCTCCATTTTGCTGTTGCTTCTGCAATCTACGAATTCACAGTGCTCCCGTTTGGACTGGCCACCGCCCCAAAGGACTTCACAAAGTGCATAGCTCCAGTCTGCGCATACCTCCGACTACGCAGAGTTCAAATATACCCCTACCTCGATGACTGGTTGTTGGTTTCCCAGACCAGAGAAGGACTTTGTTCCTCTGTGAACATGGCCTGCTCCTTATTGCAGGATCTTGGACTTTGCCTTAACTGCGAGAAATCCTCTCTTGTTCCTGCGCAGATGATCAACTTCATTGGAGCCCGTCTAGATTCAACAGTGGCGAAGGCATTTCTCCCGCAAGGCAGACAACGCAGTATCACTCGATACATCCACCGAATTCGACGAGACGGAACTGTTTCTGCCCGATCTGTTCAAAGATTCTTGGGGCACATGGCAGAATCCATTGCCGTAGTTCCACATGCCAAGCTTTGGCTTCGCCCCCTTCAGCTGTTCTTCAACAAGATGTTCCGGCCGCAAACGGATTTGCCAATGAAGTTGATTCGACTACCGTCCTCTGTTCTACAATCTCTGCTACAGTGGACAGTATCAGACAACTTAAACATTGGAGTCCTGTTCCGAGCTCGGTGCCCTACAGTGACTCTCAGTACCGATGCCTCTCTTCTCGGAAGGGGAGCACTGTGCTCTGGCCTACGCACTCAAGGTGTTTGGAATCGACAGGAGTCCAGGAATCATATCAATTTCCTGGAACTTCTAGCAGTATCCAAAGCTCTACAATCATTCGAGGACATTCTTCGCCATCGAGTCGTTCAGATAACCTCGGACAACATCGCTACAGTCTTTTACCTGAACAAACAAGGAGGGACGAAGTCACCAATGTTAGCCCGGCTATCGATGCAGATCTGGGAGTGGTGCATCCCGAGAGATATTATCTTGATAGTAGTACACCTAGCCGGAACGGACAATGTGGAAGCCGATCTCTTAAGCAGACACATGTCCACATCTCACGAATGGGAACTGGATCGCCAGACATGCGACCGGCTGTTCCAGTGATGGGGTCTCCCAGATATAGACTTATTTGCCACCCGGCAAAACAGGGTATGCAAGACTTTTTGCTCGAGAGCAGGAATCGGACAGGGGTCATCCGGGGGTGCCTTTATGATCCCTTGGAACAATATGATCTTTTACGCTTTTCCCGATTCCCCTCATTATGAGAGTAATATCGAAGGTAATCCATGACGGGGCCACAGGACTGCTGATAACTCCATGGTGGCCATGCTAAGCATGGTTTTCGACACTTCTTCACATTTCTCAAGAGCGAACGTTCGGTCTGTCAAAGACTGGAAAATGGCGGACACTCCGCTCCATATATACTGTTAGCGGGGAGGGGAGCAGAGTTTTCCCACCAAACCGTTAGCTATCTTCTGGCCAAAGGCACTGCGCAGGCACACTACCCATATGTGTAACTGCACAGATGGCCACTCAAATATCAGTTACAGGTAAGCAACCTGCTTTTTCTGTCTCAAAACCAGACGTGAAACTGGACTGAAATGGATCCAAATGGTCAGTTTCCTCCAAGAGTTCCTGGAGTTGTTCAGCTACCACCTGTTCCAAGTACCTTGCTCAAAAATGGGATGTTAGCCACTGATCTATAATTGGTGGTGACTTCTGGGTCTAGGTCCACCTTCAAGAGAGGTCTGATGATTGCCTCCTTCAAAGGAGCAGGAACCTTATCCCTCACATAGGTATTTATTCCTAGATCTAGGTATGCAGCCCATCCTTGGCTTTGCTGATTAGCCATGCTGGGCAAGGGCTGAATAAACTGGTGGTGGGCCAAACTTGTCCAAGTACCTTGGTCACATCCTTAGGCCTCAATAATTGAAACTGTAGCATCCAACTTGTGATGAACATGTCTTTCTAAAGCAAAAAATATGAAAAAGACTAGTAGGACAGGAGACGCATACAGTGAGGTGTCAATGCTAAAGCATCTGTTGAAAAATTATCTGCACCTAAGTGGTTACTAGATTTTAGTATGCATCTTCTTTGTTGTTGTTAGTCGCACAGTCGTGTCCGACCCATTGCAACCCCATGGACAACATTCCTCCAGGCCTTCCTGTCCACCATCCCCCGGAGTCCACTTAAGCTCACTCCAACTGCTTCAGTGACTCCATCCAGCCACCTCATTCTCTGCCGTCCCCTTCTTCTTTTGCCATCTATTGGTCCCAGCATTAGGCTCTTCTCCAGGGAGTCCTTCCTTCTCATTAGGTGGCCAAAGTATTTGAGTTTCATCTTCAGTATCAGGCCTTCTAAAGAGCAGTCAGGGTTGATCTCCTCTAGGACTGACTGGTTTGATCACCTTGCTGTCCAAGGGACTCGCTGGAGTCTCTTCCAGCACCACAGTTCAAAGGCCTCAATCCTTCTTAGATGTTCTTAATTGGTATTTCATTGCAGTAATGCATACTTACACTACTTTGAGATTTTATAATAGAGTTTGTAAATATTTCAAATACAAAGATGTAGTTTTACTCAAATTCAAAGTATATTTACTTTATAAAAATAAGATACAATCTTATGCAGAATTATTGGGAAGTAAATCACCGGTTGGGAAAAGTTGCAGGATTGACTGCTAAGCCAGTTTGCGTTGTATTTGGATGCAAGTCATTGCAGTGGATTGATTTCTCAGTGAACATTTAGCACAGCGGTACTAAATTAACCCCACTGAACTCAGTAGGTCTCTGATTAATTATAAAATAGATTACGTTCCAGCTGCCTTTTGCATTGCACACTTGCCAGACAGTAAACTCCGTTCGACATTGTTAAACCCGCTTGGTGAAAACGCACGTAAGCTACCTCCTGAGATACCAGTAACACCTAACTCTGACAGCGCATGCGCCAAATGTTTCAACCGCGCCTCCTGGTTGGGATGCCAAGAGAGGAGGGGGAATCGCTCTGCCCTTCCTAAAAATGGCGCCCATAGAAAAAGTAAATTTGAACCTTAAACAAAGATGGCGGCAACTACTGGCATGAATGGCCTGCGATAGAGAAGGCAGCCACGGAAGATCTCTTTCCTCTTCCTGGCATATATTTCTATATGCTTTGTCAAAAAGTGGATATTGCCATGCCTATATAAATTATTTTTGCTTTAAGTGCCCAAGCGACCAATTTTTTCTTTTCCTTGCGGCAGCAGCGAAATATCCAGGTTTAGAATAGAAGCCTCCACCACCCCCACCCTATTTGGCCACGTTCAGGGCCGCCGGGAATTAAAGTCCTGAACGTCTGGAACACCCCGCCACGCCGTTCCATGTTATCGCCTGCCCATAGCAAAGATGGCAGAAAGTCTCGAAGGGCTAGGCCTCTTTCTCCGCCGAGCCTTAGTGACGTATTTTGTTGTTCCGGGTGAGTGCCAGCAGGCGCCATTTTGTGTGGTTCGTGAAAAGCCAACCAGGGAGACAGAGGTAGCACCGGAGAGCTGCAAGTATCGCTGGTCGGCGAGGAAGGCGCCGGCGGGGGGTGAGTTCCGCAGCTCGGCCGAGAGGATATGGAAGGTGGCCGAGGACTGTACCTCCTTCCCGATCGGCCTACGAGCTCGGCGCTGTTGTCTCAATAGCCGGCACTCGGCGGGGCGAAGAAGGGGGAAGGGCAGCCGTTCCGGGCTGGAATAAAGAACGTAGAGAGGCTGCTCCTGCCTCTCCGCCTCGCGGATCCCTGCGCTTCTGCAACGGGTTCATGTTTATAGCTGCGTTACTGAGGCGGGCAAACCCTTTCCCCCTAGATTCCCTCCCCCGGTTCCTCTGTGCGCATGCGCGATTGTCCCGACTGGAGTACCGAAGGGGCGGGTTGAGGTTGGGCCCGTTAGGAACCCACAGTGCGCATGTGCTGGTGAGCTCTGGGTTGGACTGGGTTGACAGCTGGGGCATTGGCGGGTGTTGCTGCTGCCTCCGCCGGGCAGGAAGCGAAGGGGTGGGACGCACACGTTGGGCTTTAAACATGCATGTCGCCTCTGCCGCGGATTACTGATAATTGCTGCAAGAGAGATGAACGTAGAATGCTTTACAGTGTGGTCACACATGACATTGTAAAACAACTCTTTTCTGTTAGGCGTGTTTCTAGGCCAAAAAGGTACTTCGAGTAACTCTTGCGACATGTGAACTTTGCTATTTTTGCAGCTTGACCCAGTACATGCCTTTTCAGAAGTACCCTCTGCTCAGTTTAATAGGCTTACACAGGAGAGCAACCCTGGTCATATAGATAATGCAACTAAATTCTAGTAAGTTATTAGTGAGGAGGTAAACTGCAAGAGACAGATGTTGTCTTCATGGCAGGGCTACAGACTTCCACAGAAGAATCAAACTGGCCACTCTGGGAGGAAGGATGCTGGATTAGATGAATTTTGGATCAGATTCAACAGGTTTGCTTTTAGGCCCATTCAGATTTTATTTTCTAAATTGACAGTGACATTCTTCCTGTCAGTAATGTACAATGAGCACCTCATGGCCTACTGCAGCTTACAGAATTTCAGTACATAACTCCTGTGTAGTGTGGTCCTTTTTCTTTAATTTCCTGTTAAGTAAATGATGGTACTTCTGCATTTAAAAAACTGTTGCTTGAAATTGTTCATTTAACGAATTTATATCAGTGTGTTCATTGTTTTCAGTCTTGTAAACTTGTAAGAACCCATGGCTATATGCAATAAAATTGAGTGAACGATAGGGAGTTACCTTGGATAGTCTGTAGTTCATTAATATAAGCTAGTTGCCTATGGGTTGAGTATTTATCTTAGTTGACTCTCACTGATTTGTGTGGCCAGATAGACCATAGAGCTACTAACATTTGCGGACATATTTGCAAGGATGTTGTTTTTTCCTTTAAGCAGATAGAATCTGATAAGCTGTTAATGAAGGCATGTTCATGGTTATTCTGAAATTTAATCATTTCCATGTAGTATTTCAAAGTGTGTCATCCTCTCTTTTTTAGATGGCTTTTTAAAAAAGCCTGGCAGAGAAGCATTGATTGATATTTTGGGGATGTGGCATGTAGGTGCTCATTTTGTAACTTTGTTCCTAAGCTGATCCAGAGGTGTTTTGGTTAGTTTCATAAGTGAACTTGGTCTGAATCTGTCAGTAATCAAGACTTTTAGTTGATCATATTCAGTTAGAGTGTTTCATTGTATGCACATGTTGCTAAAATATTGCATGTATTCCTTTTACTTACCATATTATTACCATACCCTTTCAAGTAGCTTGAAAAGTGTGTGCCTAGAAGTATTACATAGACTTGTTTTGTTCTCACATTCTCTAATACACTTAGAAAGTTCTGCTGGACAACTGATTAGTGGAATCAGTGAAATTCAATAATAAATAAATTTGCTCACATTTTTGTGAGATGGGTTTGGGTGAGGTAGAGTGGCTATTCAAATGCTTTATAACTGAATGACAGTACGATAAGGTTCACCCACTCAAATCCTCCCATTAGATATAAAACACTGAGTCTTCTAGTTAATATATTTGGTAGACCAATGAAATGTTTCTAGCCAGGAGAATTTACAGTAACTTATCAGTGCTGTTCCAACAGAGTTCTGTTCTCTTGTTCTTTAATTTTCTTGTAAACTGTCCTGAGATGTTTTAAATATAAGACTGTTACAATTACTTTCCTATAACATATTTGGATATGGGGTGTCTTTAACTTTCTTGATATCACCCTCTTTTTTTCTTTGTATGTAACACTGCCACCAGGAATTTAATTCCTGTCCTATTAATTAACTTCTCCCACTAGGTTGTACCCCAGCTGTAAGGTTCCTTCATTGGGCTGTGGACCTGAATGTGAGACACTGATATTTAAACAGCTTATGACTCTGAGTTAACAATAAACAAAAAAAACTTTATTTGCACAATAAGCATATTGATTTCAAGATGTTCAGTAACTTATTTCCGAAGTGAATAGAACAATGTATAGTAACAACTTCTGACTGAGCTATCTCACTCTTTGCCTTCACACTTGTCATTCACAGATCCTCCTTTCCCTCCTGAATGTAATTTGACCAGTTCTTACTTTATTTATCTCAGTGCATTCTTTGTCTTATGCACTCATTTCTGTCCGCCTGTATCTCTCACACCTTTAAAATGCTTGACAGTATTAGGTTTTGACTCTCTCTAGTGGCTAATAAGCCCTCCAAGTATTCTACTTCCTTCTCTTTCCTTTTGTTCCTTAAGTGCCTTTCACAGCATTATCCGGGATTCAAGTGAGAAGGCTGCCTCTTCAGATTCTGTAGATTTTCTGGCAGACCACCACTTTTCTGACTGGAAAGTATCTATTTCCCCCCTTGCATGCTTCCAAACTCTGACCACACACTTTCAGTCACCAACCAATCACCTCCCTCCCTCCCTCACTCATCCTCCTCCTCTTCTAACGCCTTGCTTTTCTGAAGCTTCCTAGCATTTAAAGGAACAAACTAATAACAGTTTAAATCAGGGGTGTCCAACCTTTTGGCTTTTCTGGGCCACATTGAAAGGAAAAGAAATGTCTTGGGCTGCACATTAAAATCATAAACACTAACAAAAGTTGGTAAGCAAAAAAAAGTCTGTGCATATTTTTGTGATATCTGCCACCACAGATAAGTCCTCACATAATCCTAATTATGTGGTGACCCGTTGGGAGAGTCTTAAAATCATTGAGCAAGTCCAAAGTTTGTGATCATTAATAGAGAAAATGAGCATATCTGAGTAATAAAACTTCATTGATTTTTTATTTTTTATTATAAAAGTAAAAGAAAAGAGGGAAACAAAAAACTAGTGGGATATTTGACATTGTATTTGAGAAACTAGTGGATCAATATCTGGGTCGATGGAAGTAGTTGCAGTTTTCAGTGAGTTCTCAAGTTGCTCATCAGATATTCTGGTTCTAATTTTACTCTTAGTGTGCTTAATTCTTGAAAATAGTTGCTCACAAATGTTGATGCTTCCAAAAAGCGAAGACATGAATAAGGCATGATTTTGAAGCAAAGGGATATTTGTCTCTGGGTTGATACGACCTATAAAAGTTCATGATCAATTTTTTCTTTAAGTTGAATGTCAAAGTGCAGCTTTATACATTCCATTTGAAAATTGGCAGGTAACATATTTAGGTCAACTGAAAATGGAGTTGGAAATATACCAAAATAGTGCTTATTTTCCCAGAAATCTTGAAATCTATTTTCAAATTCTTGTATCAAATCGAAAAGCAAAGCTGCATATTTTTTGCTGTCTACAGTACTGTGTTTAGCCAACATGTTGCAATGTATGAAATTGTTTGCAATGGTAGGTTGAAAGATTATTGATAATAGCTGCAATTATTGACAATAGCTGCCAAGTCACCATGAGCACATGTAACATCTGATGGTATAAATTTGACTCTCTGCACTTTGAAGATAACACACTGGAAGCCGTAGACTGCCATAAAACTGAAGCCATGCATGTGTACAAATAGTGAGAGCATAGGTATGTTTATTTTATGTGACATTGCGACACAACATTGTGCACCATCCCACTCAGATGCCTGTCTAGCTTCTTTTTTAATGTCTCTAGTGTGGGGGAGCCCACCACCTCTTTAGGCAACTAGTTCCACTGTCGTATTGCTCTGACACTGAGGAAACTTTTCCTGATATCTAGCCTGAACCTGGGCTGTCGCTACTTTGAAGTACTTAACAGAGGAATATCATGTTCCCCCTCAGTCTTCTCCTCTCAAGGCTGAACATGCCCTCTAAGTCTCTCTTTCCACACATTTAAATTTAAAAGTTGCCTTGCATCCCAGTATTGGGAATAGATTGAATATATATAAATAGATTTATCATCACTATTGCATGACTGAAGTTGGTTGCACTCTAAAAGTACTTTAGAAAAACAGGTGCAAGTTCATATTATGTATGGTTAGAGATTTGTATAGCTTTCTATTCATTTCTTCATGTGGCAAGGGTATAATACAACAATATGCCTGACACCTTATTTTGTACTTAAAACTCTTGTTGAGTGTTTGGGCTTAAAAATAAGATTTAAAAGATTAGTACTGAAGGAATAGGGGCAGATTTCATGGAAATCTGCAATATTGTCTAGGCTTCTGATGTCTAAAAAAATTATGCTGACATCTAGCCATCTTAATGTTTTAATTCCTATTCAGGGATGAAAGCTAGAAATGTAATGCTGGCTTCTAGGTTTTTAATTTCTCAGAGTGCTGCCTTTTTAGTCTTAGTACTTGCATTTTGTGCTGAATTATTGTTTTATATTATGCATAATAATCATGTTCACAATAATTTTGATCACCATAGTACTAAAACATGGTTATTTTCTTCAAGTTTTCAGCACTGATTGAAATTTGAAAAATAGGGGAGTGAGATCTCTGAAAGGTGCTTTTGTCTTGATCTTGATTTTGCTCAGGCTTCTTTGTACTAATGATTGTCTAAATATTTCTCTTTTTGTCTCAGTCTTTCCCAAAAGTTCAGCATGAGTAACAGCAGTTTAAGAAAATAGAGTAGAAATAGAATATTTAGTTTAAACATTTAGAAACTAAGTTAGCTTGTGGCTGTTCAAAATCAGCCCAAACAGGATTTTTCAGAGCTCATCTGGAAAGTATTCAAGCTCAGACTTCAGTGGACAACAGCATACCTTACAGATAAAACATCTGCATCAATGTTTACTTTTGTCCAGCATCCGAGATTGTCTTTATGCCAGTAGCTTTTGCCCCATTTTTGCTAGTTGCAGCCCACCTTTAAAGAGGTCATTCCTTAAAAAGGGATGGATGTCCTGGGAATACCACAATGGCTTCTTTGTATCATTTTGCTTGTTGGAAGCTTCATCAAATTAATAATGAGGAGAACAGGAATAAGGAAGCCATGTGATAATAGATAAGCTGCTCAGGCTTAAATTAGCCTTGTTTAAGGTGAGGAATGAATAGAGGTATCTTGGTGGATCTCTGGTTGAACCTTTGGAACATCTTTTTCCAGTCTATTGTCCATCAGATGTATTGGACTACAACTCCCACTATCTTGAGCCAGAAAGTCCAGTGGTCTTGCTAATTGGTGGTGATAGGGATTGTAATCTAACACATCTGGATCAGTAACAGAGTAGAGAAAGCTGCTGCATCTCATAGTCTTGTATTTATTCATATGTTCCAACTGGTTTATTTCTGAAGTGAAGAGAAACTGAGTTGCATAGAGGAGGGATGGGGATTGTGCTGCTCTGTCACTGCCATTTATTGCAGTGCTGCCTCTAGTTGAATTGAGACCATTGCTCAAATCTGGCTAGAGCATTGCTGTACAGCAGGGATGGGTTAGCTGTGAACCTCCAGATGTTTTGGTTTACAACTCCCATAATTCCTTAACATTGGCTAGGGCTAATGACCATTCCAAACAAAACATCTGGGGGGTCACAAGTTGCAGTACAGTGATCATTTTGAGTTGTCGTGCACATTTGGGTATGAATGTGCGTGACAACTGTCTGCAGCATCCCCACCTCTTCCACTTTTCCTGCATAATCCATGATCAATTCCGTCCCAGATTGTGCAACATTATATGGGAATTCAGTCTTTTGGGTGGTTTAGGGACTAAGCAACCCAGCTGTTAACTCGTGTTTTGCTGTTGAGTTAACTTCTGGGGTGTTAAACTTCTGTCAATGTCAGTCATAGGTTGTGATGTTAAAGAGACAGGGGTTCTACAGGCTGCTTATATATGATAGTTTCAACATGCAAACAGAACCCCCAGTTCCATAGTGGAACTTTTAATTTCTACTATGTACATACATAAAACACTGGGAGGGTCACTAGTTGTTCAACCTTGCTGTACAGAAGTGCTCTTTTAGAAAAGACCATATTCTGATGCTCTGCAAAAAGAAAATGGAAATATATGTTTCACAAATGACTAGGAAATGCATTCAATATATAAGTGATTTTTAGAGCTTTATAGAAGGATGAAAGGTAAATAGAATGAGTTGTTACGGTTAGATAGAACTATTTTGCAAGTAACCCTAACTGGTGTTTGGAGAGACTTCCTTGTATTTCAAAGTTAGGCTACAGCAATAGGAATGAAGAAACAATAGTAACTTTATAATTGAGATCTGTTGTAGTTCATAGCTTTTGGATAATTCATATGCAATTACTTAAAAGTATAGCTGCTTTGACGTACTATGTACATATTTGCTGGATCCTCTGTTTCTTCAAAACCCTTTTTTAACGTCAGTGTTATAGAGAATATCTTTAATCCTAAATTTATATGAATAATTAGAACATTCTAAACCTAGAAAGAATTGGGACTTCTTATGGATTTCAGCCTTCTTAAATGCAGGAGAAGAGTTTGGGGGCAGTAAAGATCAAGGTAAAAGAAACAAATAGACTTCAGGAGGGACAGCATATATAGCTATAGTACACTAAAGCAGGTTCTAACGTTATTCACTCAAACAGAACCAATATAATCAAAACAAACCTTGTAAATTGTGTCTGTTACCACCTACTGTAGGGGTATCCATGAAACACTGATGGCAGAAATATTAGGATGAGTAGAGTTCATCTGAAGTTTTCCTATGTATGGAAGTGGCATTCTGCTCAAGGAATGGTGGTTCTTCCATTTTATGCCAGACAGCCGTGCAAGGAAAGTGGAAGTAAAGCCAAATGTGTTCTCTTGCTTATACAAGAGCTCCTGCAGCCTCTTATAGAAGCACAAGAACCTATATAGACCCTGTCTATTGGCAATAGCGCATGAACTATTGAGTAAGCATTTGTGGAAGAACACAAGCATTTTTTAAACTTCTGTTCATGGTTCTTATCCAGTGCATAGTCATTGTTCTTTCATTTATTTAGTCATTTCTGAAATGTATATCTTTCCCTTTCAGTGCCAGATAGCATTACCAGAGCTGCTTATAAAATATTTTAATAATGTGTTTCAATAATAGAATAATAAACAGTGGCATAACAATTTAAAACTGCAACAAAGCACAGCAAATAAAAACTCTGTGCGGCATAATAGATTGCCAAAGGACTAACAGGTCCTGGGAGGAAATATTTATCTGGTTCCAAATGACATGAATGTGCACCAGGTGAGTCACCCTGGAGATAACATTCCACAGGTGGGAGGTTACATCAGTGCTGAAAAAGTCAGATACCTTATTGCTAACTGACTTGACTTAGAGGATAGAGGCACCTGGAAAACAGCTTTAGCTGATGATCATATGGCCATACCAGACTTGTATGGAAAATATGTCCAAATGGTTTTGTTTAGAACATGGACATATGGATAGGTATGGACTAGCAGTATACCTATTCCGTAAATAAAATAAATTTCATTCAGTTCTTTTCACTGCTTACTGCACTGTTCACAGAACTTTAAGGAAGGCAGTTATACTTTGTGGATGCAGTGATTTTAGTATGGACTTTTACCCATGAGCTGTCAGATACAAGTGGGAGAGAGCAGGTGTGCTGATTATAGCATGACAGTTACTTCTGTTTTTAATCAACCTGTGATCACTTCGTTCATTGAATATGACAGAAAAACCCAGTGCGCTGTTTTTAAGCACTAAAAATCCAGTAGTTAGCAAAATAATCCATGGCTTGGTCAGTACTGTGTTTAACCCTTAACCAAGTACTCAGGGTTTGCAGGTCATTCTCAGCAAGCTATGAATTTGTTGATCAAATTCAGTTGATTAAAAATGAAACTGTTGGTGCACAGGAGACAGTGCATCCTGTCCCATTTTTAGTGATTTTACAATACAATCTGGTATATGTCTACTTAGAACAAAGTCCTGCTGAATGAAATGAAATTTAGGAAAAGGAATTTCAACCTTAAAGAATTATCATTTATAACACAGTTGTGAGCTTACCTTGACTGAGCAACAATCTTTCAAGTGGAAAATTACTGTTTCCCATATGATTTGAGCCTGCCTGTTTTGGGGCCACCACCCTTTAAAATGTGTCATAGACACCTCTGCTCTCATCTTGAAATGATCTCTGGTACCTTCTATCTATCAACAGCAAATAGTAGCATTCCCAAACCTAGAATTTCTTTCCTCTTGAGATTCATTAAAGCTGGAACATCTTCCACAGTCAATTCAATACCCTATAATTTATGAGCTGAGAATAATGCATTGTATCAAAGTTCTGTCATTTAAATTTGTATGCATATGATTTTGAATCCAGCTGGTACAGCTTGAATATTATTTCCTTGACAGCTACTAAACCTTCTGATAACTTTGGTAAACCTGTTTGAGGAAGAGATAGCACTGACCTTGATAACTGTTGTCCAGATCCAGGTAGGGAGTCCTGTGGATTTTTAGGTAAATACAGTCAGGTATAACTGTTTTTCAGTTGATCAGTCACTTGATCTCTACAGTTCTGACAATAGACATGAATAATGTCCGTTACCAGATGGCAATCCTGTAGCTGAAATTCTGGTATGCTAGTGTTTGTGGATTCTATTGGGAATTCGGTCAAAACTGAAACATGCTGTGTTCTTTTAAAATATTTAGGTATATAATAGCTTTATTTCAAGTAAAGTATAATTTGTATAGCTTTGCCTGGGTGACCTTTGAGAGGTTTAAATGTTACTGTGTAGAACTGAATTACTCAAAACATAGTCTCAACTCAAACTTGAAATGTTATTTTTGATCAAATGTAGAGTGTATAAAGAACTAAAGATGTGGGATCAAGGTGGGCAGCCTTGGCAACAGTGGCCTTTGAATCAACAGCAATGGATGCAGTCATTTCAGCACCAGCAAGATCCAAGTAAGTAAATAGTTGGAATGGTGCTATCAGGGTGAAAACCAGCCAAATGACCTACATTTTAGGTGGGATGGGGGTCATCTTGAAGTCTTCCAGATTATTTAGTTTTCAACTCCAGTCATACTTTACTATTGGATGGGGCTGATGGCAGTTTCAGACCAAAACTAGATGGAAGGCCACAAGATGTCCACTTTGGGTTAGAGACAACTTTTGAACTTTTTGAATTCGTCACTTAATTGTGATGAATTCAGAAAGTTCACATCATCCTAACCAAAAGTCAAGCTAATCCTTACTGTTTGCCACCATTTGATTTCCTTACATGTCCCAAGTAGGTTCATTGGCAAGCACAGTTTCTTTTCCTAAATTGTACTTTAAAGAGGTCCCTTAGTGAAGAAAATAGAGGGAAAAACTGAAACCCATAGCAAGCACAAAAGCATGCTGAATTAATCCCTTCTTCTGTATTGCAGTGTACCTGAGCTTGAATGTAGGAGGGAAGAAGTAAAAGAGGAAGCATCCCTTGGTGGCAAATAGACATAGCTAGCTTGGTGTGCGGCTAGTCTATGTTACTGATCTGTCCACCCATCAAGAAAATTTTGGCTGTTTATGTGCCCTGGATAGTTGTTATCTTCTTCATAGGCTTTTTATAAATGAAAACACTACTAGAAGCTTTGCATAATTCAGTGCCTACCCTTGGCCAATAATATGTTAAAATGGGGAAGAACAAACAAGGCTGTTGATGGAAATCCATTTTTAAAAAAATCTTGGATCTACTTTTAATCCCAGCCATAGGGTCCAGTTGCTGTATATGTCAGTTTTTCCTCTCTGTATATATTTTTGTTTATGTTTGTTTGTTTGTTTTTAAAGTAAGCTTAAAATAAAAATGTGTGGGCCAAGTTAATCAAATCAGGATGCACTAACTGAAGGCAAATGTTCTAATAAATTGTTTTATTAGACTGAACTTGGCTAACAGGTGGAAAAGTACACAGAAATAATAGTGCAGCAATCAGTCTTAAATGCACAGGGTTTCCTGAATTAGGAAAAAAATCTTTAAAAATGTAGAAAGAATTGATTTTTGAAAGGTAGATATAAATTTGACCAAAAAAATCAATCCTATTTAAGTTAGTGAGATCTTTTTCCTTTTACTTCATTGAGATGCAAATTTGTACTTTTTAGATTGCATACCTTAATGTAGACAGCTTAAATCTTCCAGTTGCATTAAACTGGACTGTTGCAGATTGAAACTGTTCAAGGTTGCAGCAGATCAGTCTAAACCTATATATTTAAAAGTTAAGAGTAAGTCCTATTAAATTCAGGGAGATTTTAATTCTTCCTAAATGTGTATAATATTGTAGCCTTGGATATTTTGTTAGATTATTCTAAAACACAGCTGAGAAAGTTTGTTAAATGTTTTTTAAATAACTGTCAGATTGGAAGAAAATATAATGAAACAATAACTGTTTCGTTTAATAGTTTAACAGCACAGTCCTTTATTTGTCTAATCCAGAGTAAGTCCCAATGAGTTCAGTGGGGCTTACTGTTACATAAGCATACATAGGATTGCAGCCTGTGTCTAGTGATTATTTGGGAGTTCATATCATCTGTGGAACTGTATTCTTGAAAAGGTCCAGAATTATTTAATTTATATGAATAAGGATGATAAAGGAATGGGCCAAACTACATGCTAGGCTAATGCCATTAAATTCTTTGTATCAATTAAAACATTTTTCCTTCTCTTCGGTTCAAAATGATTATAACAGAATCTCTGTAACAAAGGAATCCCTGCCTTCAGAACTACAGTCTAAAAGGCAGGATGGTAAAGGGATTGGAAGGGAGAAGGGGGGGAAAAGCAAACTTAGGGTAGAGTCCTATGGGTTATACCCTTGCTAGATGGAAGCCTCCAGTGGTCTGGCAGGCTGCTGGTAGCAGGGTGGAAAGAGCAACAGATGCCATTTTCACCTCTGCTCTCCTTTTTGTAAATTTTTGTCTATATGGGCCTTTAAGTCATTTAGAGTAGTAGTAAGACTGTGGCTGGAGATGCCATAAGATTTCTCATATCCTGGTCTCTCCTGTCCCTGAAGTTATTTCCACTGCAGCTGTGAGAGGGCAGTAGGATTGTTTGAATCCTGGAATCCCCCTTCCAAGGCATAGCAATGTCTGTAGCTTCAAAAGGACTCTGAAAAATCCTTGCATCTTTGGGATGCTCTCTGTAACTGATTCTGACATTACAGTGCCTTTTCTGTCCAGGAGAAGGGAAGCAAGCTCCTTTTCTGACCAATGGATTGGGGTAGGCTGGTCTTTCCCTTCCCATGAACATCTTTCTGGAAGCAGGGAAGGTAGCCTTCAAGTGCCTTTTATCCTCCAGCTGATTGCAGAGGCCAGAGTATGCTGCTGTATGGCTGTGCAGCCCTGAGGCAACTGGTCAAATGATCTGAAGAATATAGTTGTGTTCTTACCCCTAATCCCCCTCCTCCTCCCCAGGCATTGGTGATATATTACTTAAATGGAATGAGATGCTGTGTTCATGGGTTTGAGAAGTACATCATCCTGCTTCTGTTACAGAAATCTGTTTGCTGAAAATATAATTTTAATTCCAGGCCAAATTGACTGGGCTGCATTAGCTCAAGCATGGATTGCGCAGCGAGAAGCATCAGGGCAGCAGAGTGTGGTGGAACAGCAGGGGATGATGCCAAATGGCCAGGAGATGACTGGAATGGAGCCTGGTCCGAACAATCACGGTAACTTTCAGGGCGATCCAAACTTCAACAGAATGTGGCAACCAGGTTTGTTTACTGGTACTTAGTTCTCTGTTTGTGTATTCTAATGCTTGCAGGCCCACAGCCTAATCTTAGGAGCAGTGTTTAAATAGTGTTGCTACCTACGAAGTTCAAATCTCAATGGCTTTGAATCACTCTCTCTGTTATTGTACAGGATTAGTGTGACCACTGAGGACACCCTGAGAAAGATAAGCATTCATTTTTTCTGTATAGCTCTGTCCCTTTTCAGTCACCATGATGTTTGCTGGATTGCTGTCTTAATCAGCTAGGATGACCTGGGTTCAGGCTCTGGCAGAGATGTTTATAGATCAAAATCCTTTTTGTCATCTTGAACATTTTAAAGACTTTAATTTAGGTGTATTATGCTGTCATTGTCACGCTAATAAAATAATGTTACATGACTTGTGAATCATATAGTAACAGGAAGTTTAATACAGCTGTAATATTTAAAAAACAGCTCACCCTCAGCATGAACCCAGTTTTGCAACATGCACCGCAGGTCTGTTTATCACTGTTCAATACCTGTAATGTTACACTAGGGCAGGGGTCGGCAACCTGTGGCTCCGGAGCTGCAGGTGGCTCTTGATTCCCCCTGCTGCGGCTCTGTTGCCCAAAATATGCGTCACAGCCGCCGGTCTGCCACCGAGGCCACCGAGTTACAAAATACCAATAGGTGATGATGAGGCATCCACTCAGGAACACCCCGCTAGCAGGTTAAGTAAATTGTGACATTAGAGGAAAAGAGTGGAACAAGCTTCTTGCAGGCTCTTATGTTACACGAAAGGCTGCTGAAAAGATTCTCTTTGTTCAAATGTAATCTCCTTTCTCTGAATGATAAAAGCTGTGCTTGGGACCTGTCACAATTCACATCACTTGACTGTTTATCTGTTAATCAGTCACTAAACACATCTATATTTGCGACTTCCCTTCCGCCATAGGCCAACCATGAATAAATCGAAGTTTCTGAAGAAAACCAAACGTTTAATGATGAGTGGGTAGATTCATTTGCTTTTACTGCTGATGAACTTATGAGGTTTGCTGTTTAATCCATGGAGCCCTTTAGCACTGACTTTGACTCTGCAGGAAGCTGTTCTCCTATTCAAAATATATGAAAGGAGTCCTACTAGATTATAATGTAAGATTAAAAACAACAGTTTTTAGTGACTGAAAAAGAGCTGCAGCTAAATCATAATGAAGATATACATAGCATTAAGGTAAAAAACGATATATGCAGTGTTACCTTCATTTTAGATGTCAAAAGGGTTTTGTGGCTCCCGGTGTTTTCTTCTGTGTGGGAAACGGGTCCAACTGGCTCTTTGAGTGTTAAAGGTTGCTGACCCCTGCACTAGGGGAATCCTCTTCTTCCCCTTGGGCTCATTGAGGCTGTGTTCGCATCCGTTCCATTGTCCCATAGCCAAGGCACCAGAATTAGCCCACAACTCACTCAAGTACACTTCCAGGGAAAAAAGAAGTTTATTTAAAAAGTAATAATAGGGACAGAAGGGGAAGGGTGTGTGGGATTTCAGAGGGAAAGAGAGAGTCTTTGATCAGAGTCATGTGTTTCGTCTCTTACCTAAAGGTTGGCTTAACCCCTTCAAGACAATACTTTTCTTTCATGTTTCAGATAGGCTAGGCTACCTTACCTAGTTAAAACATTAGTTCATTTACATGTGCATCCCCCAACCAGGTGTCTTTCAGATGTTTTTGCTGGGGCATGTCTCAAAGACAAATCAAATGCTCAACTCCTTGCAAACATTTTAAAAGTAGTTCAAAGCACATGAGAGATTGATGTACATGCATGGTGGCATCCTAGATCATTAGGTACTGCACCAAGCTAGTGTTTCTCTATTGAAGCTAAACTACACTGCAAACATTAGAATGGGATTTCCAGAGCATTCCCTTGGCAAAGGAAGAATTTGCAAAGCCACTTCCAAACTGGTTCCTTTTTTAAAAAAAGTAACACCTGTTAGTTTTCTATAAGAGTGCTTTTGTAATAGAAATGTTAATATTTTTAGACTTTTTTTTTACTCAGATTGGGAGTAGCCAGTATAAATCATCCTGCTTTTCTTGGTGACAGATCTTTAACGCTTATCTGCCAAAAGGATTCCATCTGTATGTACAGTTGGTTTGTAACGAAACCCTAACCAAGTCTTTACCTTAATGCTTTTAAACTTTTGCCTTCCTCCCCATGTGCATAGCAATATCAGAGTTTGTGTTCATAAGCAAAGTAGAAGCCTTGAAAGAGTTGTCAAGTTCCTCACCCTTGAATTAGTTATGATATCATATTGGGCTGTTTAAAGGATACATACTGGGAAAGTGTAGCTGATATTTTCTTTCTCATGGTTTGTGCCTGGGAACCTCCTATCTTGGAAGAATATTTTGATAAATGCTAACCGAAATACTATTCTCACCCACCTTGCTGTGCTTTATTATGCCTTTTCTAAGTCCTCAACTAGCTTCTGGCATGTCTTAGATTAAGCATATTCCTGACTGTGGCAGATGTAGCAGTTTATTTAGCCAATATGCAAACATTTAGAAGGAATACCAGTGATAGCTGAGACACAAAAATGAATTTCAGGGTTTTATTATGTTCTGTCCTTGTGTTATTTTACATCAAATACTTCGCTTCTGTAAGCTAAGACAGTCTGATTAGGGTTAAAAGCGTGTGACTAAAATTGTGTATTTTTTTTTTTAATCCAAACAGAATGGAGCATGCCACACCAGCCTCCTCATCCACCTCCAGATCAGCCATGGATTCCTCCAGCCCCAGGTCCAATGGATATTGTTCCTCCATCTGAAGACAGCAACAGTCAGGACAGTGGAGAATTTGCCCCTGACAACAGGCATATATTTAACCAGAATAATCACAACTTTGGGGGACCACCACCTGATAATTTTTCAATGGGGCCAGTGAACCAGTTTGACTATCAGGTGAAACGTTTGTTGTCTAAATATAGTAAACTTGTGGAATCCCTTCCATGGAGCTGTTCCTTGAGTGTCATTTTTCAACAGAGTTTCTTGTTTGGTTATTATAATAGCTCCCTATTTTAATGTGTAAATACACATCTTACAAAAGAGAAAAATATTAAGCCAAAGAGGATAAAATGCTTAAATATATGAACAAGTGTATTGTAAGAAGGAACAGTCTTTCATAGACTAGTGTAGATGAATTAGTAGGTCTTTTTCACCTCTCACTGGTTTAATTTTCTGAATAAAGTTGACTTTATACTCATTATTTCACTTTTGGAAATAAATTGTGTCTGAAACAATGTGAAGATAAGCATTGGGTCTGATCTTGCACAGAGCTAGGCATATTTAAGCTTATCTGAAATCAGTTGAATTGAGAAATGTAGAACAGTACAAAATTGTACTTAGTGCCCTGGATTTAGCTACTTGTCCTTGGAGAAAGACTTCCTCAACCTGCACGGAGTTCCCTGTTTGTTTCAGTGAAAATGGAAGTAACACTGGTGTGCCTATTTATTTGGTCATCTAGATGGAACAAAATCAGTGAGGATCATTGTGCACACAGCATCCACACATGATTCTGAATGTGCCTAGCATTCCTGAGTGCAGTCCAGAGAAGATTATGTATACTAGCTTCCATTCATTTCACTGGCTTTTAGACACACCTACATATTTCTGAATTGTCATTATGAACAGCATCTTGGTGATATTCAGGGTTTAGGTCTGATATTTGGTGCTTTTGAACAATTTACAAAAGCCATTTCTTTCTACAAATGATAGGTACTTTTGAAACTTTTTTCTGAATAGTAAAAATCTGTGGAAAATACTAACTTTTTAGGGCTGTTTTTCTATCTCCCACCCTCATGTATTTCAAACTCACACAAACTTAAGACATATATATATTGGCCATTATGTTTTTCTTCACTTACCTGATTTTAATTTTTTTAAAGGCTGTAAATGCTAATTGTAATTGGTCAACAGAAGCCTTTAACATGCACACAAAATGTCCCCCTCAAATTGATGGGGCTCCAACTGAAAGGGATACTGCCATGCAGGCCGCACACACATGACATTTCCCTGGTATAATTAAAAAAAGGAACTTAAGCAGCTGCAGTGGCATACCTTCTAACAAGTCAACTGAAACTGACAGTGCTCAGTTGAAATCAATACATTTGTTAAATTCAGATTTTTCCATTTAAGTGTGAAACATTTTTGTGGTACTATAAAGGAAGATTCTTCTATTTTAGATTCCCAAATGGATAGAAAATATAATTAAATTATCTTTAACTTTTTATATTGAGTGTTAGATTTTCTTGTCTGAAGTTGTGACTGATTTCAAATTGAAGAGATCTTTATGCTTTCCTTTAAAAAAGGTCCAGGGGGTATTTATACAGAGGTCTCAAATATATGCTAATCTATTAGAAGTCAGTTGATAAAATGGTTGGCGACTGCAATCAATCTTTTGAAAGTGGTATACACTGCTGTCTGAAACTACAATGTCATTAAAAGAAGAAAAAATTAACTATGTGCCTGCTTCCATCTACATTATACTTTCAGATTCTCGTTGCTGTCAGTCAGTTATCTGGCAACTGATCTGGATCTCAAACCATATGCTACGACCACATAGCATTATTTAATATAATTTGCTTGGAAATTCCTTAATGAGAATGATACTAGCTGCTTAGGTTAGCATTTATTACAGGAGGATGACACTTATATTACAAGAATAATATATACTGCACTATACAGACCCCATTTTCACATACTCTTTGCCCCTATGGATTACTGCAAAGACTATATAAATTAGGAATATCTTCATGGTCTGAAAAAGAGAAAAAAAATGGCTGGACTCATACTCTCATGAGTCTATCAAGCTTTTATTTCTTGAATAACAGCACCTAGTGGGACATTATAAACTCATTTTGAACTGAGCGGACATAAAAATCACCCTGTGTTATGGTGGGAGGGGTTGCAGTTCTATTGTTCAAAGTTTTTTAAAAGGAAACTTCCCACTGCGAGTGATTCAACTTTTGGCCATCTCTTAAGTAGATTTCCGAATCCTATCTGGTGCTTCCAAATCAAAATGTAGAGTTTTGGAGTCCATAGAACATGAAACATTCTGTAGAGGTTATGGGTTTATTTGTATACTTGGCTTCCTGTTCTTCCTACTTTGCTTTTTGCAGAGAAATAAAATGTTAAGATTGAAGACTGCATAGCATTGATTAGATGGACAATGAACTTCATTATTCTTTCAGCATGGGGCTACTTTTGGTCCACCTCAAGGTGGGTTTCATCCACCTTATTGGCAGCCAGGACCACCGGGCCCTCCAGGGCCCCCAGCACCTCCCGCTCCTCCCCAAAACCGAAGGGAAAGGCCAGCATTCAGAGATCGCCAGCGTTCACCTATCACATTGCCTGTGAAACAAGAACCCCCTCAAATTGGTATGTCTTAAGCATATTTACTGTAATGCCAATAATCACCATTCTCAGGTTCAGCACAGCATGAACAAGTTACGAGAATGCGAATTTTGGTACCTGATCTCCACCAGGAGAGAAAAAATGCCTGGGAAAACCTGAGCAAGAGATGGGTTTTGCTTGCCTGTCTCACCTGCCCATGCTTCGTTCATATGGTAGATCTTCCACCCATGCCATCAATAGAAGCTCACTCAACCTGACTCTTATGTATATGTTGCCACCATAATGTCTAAATTGGCCCAGACAGAGAATTAGGGTGCCTTTTCTGTTTCTGTTTTTTGTTTTAAGAGACCTGTCTGCCTATTTTTCATTTGTTCTGAAAGCTAATTGATTAGGCTCAGAAAGAAAATGAATGGGTGCCTGCTAATTTTTTAAAATCCTTCATTATGCTTTAGATGCTGTTAAACGCCGAACTCTGCCTGCTTGGATTCGTGAGGGCCTTGAGAAGATGGAAAGAGAAAAACAGAAGAAGCTTGAGAAGGAAAGAATGGAACAACAGCGTTCTCAACTGTCTAAAAAAGAAAAAAAGGAACATGTAGAACCAGGAGAAGAAGATGGACCTCGATTACCACAGAAAAGTAAATTTGTAAGTGGTTGTATTTGTTCACATTTATATATTTCTGCATCAGATATATTTCAGTTTAATAGAAGTTGTGTACTTTAGAAGGCTGAGTTCTTTCTTGTGTTGGTAGCAAAAGCACTGAGCTACCCACATCTTATTCTGTGTTTTGTTAGTCCTTTGAATCAAGAGTGGGCAACTTGTGGCCCTGCAGATGCTGTCACTGTTTCTCTCCTTTTCCCTTCCCACTAGATCAAGACAAGAGGCTTCTGTCTACAGCCTTTGATTATGTTAAAGCTGGCCAAGACTGGCTTTCTGAATAAAGAAAGTAAGGTAAACAATATTAGCAAGAATCATCCATCAGGAAGGGTCACGCTACTTGTGAGCCAAATGGCAGCAGTGCTGGACATTGTGCCAGTCAGGTCTCCTGACTTGGTGATGGACAACTGGACTGCTCAAGCCACATGCACCCTGGCACTCCCTGTTCTATAGTGACTCTCCCTGATGCAGAGCTGGTCTGGTTCTTGCTAGCTGCTTGGCTTATCTTGCAGTTTATTTCCCTTGACAGTTCGTACATTCTGACACCACTTAGTTCAGTTCAGGTTCTGAGTCTGATGTATCCACCTTAGAATGCTATATTTTGAGAAAAGTTTCAGATGCTCTGAACTATTATCTTTCACCATTGGCTGTGTGTGGTTAGGACAGATGAGAATTACAGGCCAAAACATCTTGAGGACCACAAGTTGTCTACCTCTGTAAGGTATGGGGGTATGTGGTGATTGGTATAGAAGATTGTGTTCCTTATTTCTCTCTTTGTTATCAATATGAACTGTGCAAACTTTAAATAGGAATGCTTCAAGTATTATAAATAAGTCTTGAACTTCTACATTTGCATTGCCTTACAGGATAGTGATGATGAAGATGAAGATCTTGATAATGTAGAAGCTACTAGTAGTGGAAAAATAAGCCGGAGTCCCTCCCCAGCTCCTCAAGAGGAGCAAAGTGAACCAGAAATGACAGAGGAAGAGAAGGAGTATCAGATGGTATGGATAATTTTGAAACCACTTTCATGAATGTATGTGTTTGGTTATTGATATGGTTGTCTCATTATATTTCAAGAAAGGTAAATTGAGTCTATCCCGATTTAATTATTGTGATTAAATTTGCATATGACTATGATTTGTTACATCTATATTCCACTTTTCTTCCAAGGAGCCCTAGGTGGTCCTCCATTCCATTTTATTCTCACAATGACCCTGTGAGGTAGGTTAGGCTGAGAGTCAGTGACTGGAGCAAAATCATCTACTGAACCTCCTGGCAGATTGGGGACTAGGATCCAGGTCTTCCTAGCCATATTCCACCTTTCTAACCACTACAGTACATGGCCTCTCTTCTTCTGAAACAGTAGTTTAAAAAGAAAGCATGTTTTGTTTTAAATGGTATGTGTATATATTGCAGCAAGTGCCATCTCAAGAGATATTTCTCTTGTGAGGTACCTTTTTTTGTAAATTCAAATAAAGCAGCTATAAATAGATGAATTTTAAAACAAGGGTTTTTTAAAAAATTTAAAACTGCATATCAGTTCAGTGCTTCAATAATGACTGAAAGCAAGCTACTTTGTCCCTTAACTTGAAGAAGCAAATGGGTGTAGCTGAGAATACAGTTTGAACTAGTGATTTTGTATTTAAAATTGTTCAGATGTTGCTGACAAAAATGCTGCTGACAGAAATTCTTCTAGATGTTACAAATGAAGAAATTTATTACGTAGCCAAAGATGTCCACCGGAAAGCAATAAAAGGTATGCTTAGGTTTTGTAGTAATGTCATTAAATATCCTTTTGCATGGCTTAGAACATTTTAAAACCATAGAATTTGCACCTAAAAATAATCTAAATGTATTGGAGGAAAGTTGAAAAATTCAGTTGTAATACTCATATATTGTTGTCCTGTGTAGTGTATTGTTCTGTGCAGTGTATTGTGAGTTAACTTCAGTTATTCCATTTCTTTCTTATAGAATTTTATTTTAAACAGTTGTAACTTTTTGTGTGATAGCTTTTAGATACAATTTTCTAGTTCAAATATAGTTGAGCAAAAACTAAGGCAAGCTTGAATAATGAATGAATTTGTTATTAGGCAGCTATTTTTACAAAAATAGGTAACAATATTCCATATAGTCCTGTGCAACTAATTTAATATTGTACTGATTACAGACTAAACGTATTAACTTGAAAATGTATAAGTTGGAAATGGCTTCTTTTTATTTTGTCCATTGTTTATTCACAGTTTAAATTTCTAAACGTTCATGGCCAGAAAATTACTGGGCTTTCAATGGATGATACGTTTTTAATGTCTTTTCTCTCCTCCACAAAACAGCAATAGTAGTAGATTTAACAATACCATAGACTCTCATGACTATGAAATCGTGGCTATTTGTGTTAACATGTTGTTCCTGTTGTTGATGTGATACAAAGCTCCTGCAAAACAGCTGGCACAGTCCAGTGCATTGGCTTCCCTCACTGGACTTGGTAAGTAAGTTCCTGATTTTTGAGAGGGACTTAATGGGGTGATAGCTCTGGCTTGCATTTCTGAATATGTAGTGAAACTACCCAACATGCATTAGGCAAGCACCCGATAACATTTTTATGCTTATCTCATAAATACATCTACTGAAATAAATGAATCTGTACAGTTTGTAATAATAAAGCCTGTCTTGTCAGTGAAACTTGGGGCTTTTTGGCCAGATAGCTAATACAGTGGATGTGAAGGATTTTTTCACCTGTTTATAGTTCAGCTGTTGGTTCAGTGAAAATGCTTCATAAAATCTACTATTTTTTCTTGCCAATATTTCCACAGAATAAATGTATATTTTGACTTTTCATAACCAGCATGTAAATTGGGACATGCTGAATATGAAGTTCAGAATTGCATTCTGAGATGTAATAGATCTTTTTGTTTGCATGTCAGTGTAACATCATTAATGCAATGTTTAATAATTGTGATTTTAAATAAATACATATTTTGACAACTAGTGATGCGTTATTTCATGTTAGCTTAAGTGTATTTTGTAAACTAATGTAAGGATTAAGGGAACCTGGAACAGAAAGTAAAAAAAAATCTGCATCAGCTACTCAAGAATACTTTCTACCAGTCTGTTAGTTTTTACAGATCTGTCTTTTGGGGGAAGAGAAGTCCATTCCTATTCCATATCTGTACCTTTTTAATGTACAGTCTTTTCTGAACAGTAGAAAATTGATTGGCATTTGGGACTTTTTAAAGGCCTGGATATTGAAGCTGACTCATTGTAAAGATGTCTTCAGGAACAGGTCTTAGGCACTGCACTCCTGTGTATATGCTCTTGCTGATGTATACTAAGTATTTGGGACTGGCTCTGTAAAGAGCTTCTTTACCCATATATTTATCGGAAAAGTACATAATCATAGCGACTGCTTGCTGGAAAACATGGCAAGCTGTTCCGGAAGAAGTAAAACCTGATACTGAACAGCAGGTCACATGTGTGGGCCTTGAACACTACAGTCAACCAGCATTGGCACTTCCTCCAGAATAAGTGGCTTCTTCAGTGAAGGAGTGAAAGATGGGCAATATACTCTCCTCTTTGCCCTGCAGAAATATTAAGAACCAGGATTAATCTTTCCTCGTGATAGACTAGGCTTTATGCACGCAGGTGGACTGGGTGGTTATGGATCAGGAGACAGTGACGACGAGAGGAGCGACAGAGGCTCTGAGTCTTCCGATACTGATGATGAGGAACTGCGACACAGAATCAGGCAAAAACAAGAAGCATTTTGGAGGAAGGAGCGAGAACAGCAACTATTGCTAGAGAAACAGCTGGAAGGTAGGCTGTTCATTTGGTTCAAAATTAACTAGAGCAGTGGTAGTTTACACATCCAGACCTGTGATCCACCTTGTACCCTTGCAATATGGGAGCCAACTCTTATGGATATAACAGGATATGTTAATTATTACATCAAACGCAAGTAAAACCATGCATAAGGATGTACTGTGCACACCAGCCAGAGCTATAGGGGGCATGTAACCAAAGATATTTTTTGGGCGAGGCTAACTTGTAACTGTTTTTTGTTAGTGCTGTCTCTCTGATATGGTTAATAACCTCAAACTTTGAAGTTAGCCTGCGATGTCTGTTACTTGAGATGACCTCATTTCCCCCAGGAGTACAGCCTGGAAGTCTCTGACCTTAGCCATTCTCAATCCCAGGAGCTACCTGGTGGGAGCCAAATACACAGTCCATCCCAAATTTTCCAGGGAAAGATTTGGCAAGAATCTTGCAGTAAAACATAGGTGGGATTAAGAA